GTCGACCGTTAAGATCTTGGCGAAACTATATTAACTACACGTATCGTAATGACATAATAATATAACATTAATTGCTCTTGTGATTAAGTCAAATACCTACGACTGYGCGGAATGCAATCTCCCGTTAACCTAAAAAATAAAGTAATTTATACTCATCCATAAAAATATTAAATTGTAATTTGATTTAATAACATAGTATTATGTTAATAAATACTATTATGTACGAGTGGTATATACGTGAATGATGCAGGCGATAAAATTATATGGTGTTATATCATTATACCGTTTTAAAACTAATCGAATTGTTTTTTTTTTTTTCATAAATACGCGCGTGCACGCTATATATATATGTCATGCTGGACGTTGACGTATAATATCCAGTACCTACTTATTCCAGTAACAAACCCTATAAAACCGATCAAAAGTATTTGGAAGAATATTGAGGTAATGTTTCTTGTTTGGATTGTATCACATGAGATGGATACCTTAATAATATATAGAACCTTTATCGAATACGACGCTGTATTATATGCGTCTTATGTAATAATATTAATATATTGTCACGATGATGTTATAATAAAATGAGATCGAAGCGAAATCATGGCAACGAATATAATATTTTTATTTGATGTCGTAACCACTCGTAAGTATATAAACATCCCTTCAGAGATGATTTGAATCTGATGGTACCGGTTTGCAGTGTTCGCGATTTGCATTRTAATAATATAATATATTGTGTATTATGTTATACTGCCGCCATCATACTATGATTAATACGGTCATGTGCAGCGTGCTGGGTATACTCACGCGTATATGTATAGTAATATTATATTGGCGCACTGCGGGAAATCAATCCGAAACCGTCTATCGTCTTGATATACCATATACGTACCTATTTACCTGTGATATAGCAATAGTGCATCGTAACAATGTTGTAGTGCATATACCTATTATTTTAGTAACAGACTTCGCAACAATGGTTGATTATACAACGACGATAAGTGTTAATGTATAAAGATAATATACTTTATAAATTATAATTTATAATACCTACGTGCAAGAGGTTTGGGTAGTGCTGATCTTCAAAATTAATTATACGTTTCGCATTGTACGCGGTTTTGATTTAAATAATTCAAACACGTTGATGGCTCGTCGTAAAAGTCCCCAAGGCTATAGTTTTAAGCCACGTGAACCCCGCTACGATATCGGATAATACGTTYATTATAATATAGTGATGTATGCCAATGTTCGAAAGTCCCCCCGACGATGGCAAATTATGTATGAATATCAGAATAATACAGGTACGATTAGTTATTGGATATGATGTCCGACGACAACCTACACGAAACAGTGGCAGTTTCGCGAAAATTCTTGGTGCCGTTTAATAGAACACCCACGAATAATGCATTAAAATGTACCCACCCAGTGCCTGAAACTATTAAAATATGTTGTTATTATGTTATATTTTTAAATATTGTATTTCACAAGTTTTGTGCGTCGTTTTAAAACTAGCTATACTCTAATGCCATGTGCTATGTAACGCGTAACTTGGTATCCATTCCCACCGAGTACAAGTAGGTAATACATTATATAACGTACATCATATTATATCGTTACATCACTCGTGAATTTCAGCCAGATTATCAACAAAGTCTGGTAATAATGTATTATTATTGTCATCATATTGACACCAATCGTTTACTTTAAGTCCGTTTCAGAGATCACCGCAGTTAAAAAAATATAAATCTCACCACTAACATCAACCTAACCAAAATTGTTAAATGTTATATACTTATTATTACGATCACTGCTATTYGATGGGAATGAATGACAATAACAACTATTGTGGCAAGTGAATTCGTAAAATAATATCTTAACTCATAACCAGGGCCGGATTGGTTAGGCGAGCTGCCGAGAAAATCTCGGTGGGCCGGTAGTATCTGAGTGTGGGTGAAAATAAATACATGTTAGGATAAGTAAATAAGTTCGTAACGATTTTAGACGTAATAAACCAATACAAAACAATAGACCCAAATTCTGGGCCAGTGAATATGTAAATGGGCCGCTTAGAAGTGAAAATCTCGATGGGCTGATATATACCAATCCGGCCCTGCTCATAACTATAGATAAATACCATAATAATACCTCACCGAGCTTAGAATATTTTATATATAATACCCATTTTTTTTTTTATAGACACCTAGCTAATACAATATTTCCAATGTAGGACATTTATTCAGACATTTCTATTTAAAATGATGTTCAATAAGTGGTCTATAGACCACCACGAAAGGTTAAATATATCAGGTTTTATTATAGAATTTAAGACGAAAACCGTTATTACGGTCGGAGATAATAGGTATAATGTATATTATRGTACTGGTTTAAAAATATATAAAAATTTATTACGAATACTAGCCGGTTTTTCTCAGCGAAATAGATTTAATCAGCATATTTGGAATGGATCGTTTAGACGAATATTTTCAGAGATATGTTAACAGTTATAGAGAATGGGATATGGGAAAATAGGTAGGTATAATGTGTGTAAATATGTTTTATTATATTACAAGTACATTTTTTTGAAAACTATCTGGTGAATTGCTGAGTTAAAGTTGCCCATGACCTCGGGTAAAAACTCAATCAACAAYTGCTGAATTTTCAATGAMATCGTAAGAGAGCTTTTGTCCAGTAAATATTAATTATTATGCCACGCACAATACTAACTTAATTTCTGTTTTGGTATYATGGCGTATAACCAGGAACGTTCTTCCGTATAAACCCGTATTTTTATCGACGTTTCCTTTAACGTTATCTCGATACATGCAGTATTGTTTTTGTTTTCGCATTTAAATTGTACACCGTCTTATCGGTGTCCACATTATCACGTGGTATTTKTTGCGTACAGGAAACAATATATACATATGTACTTTTTATCGGCCAGAATTGMTTTTTTTTCTAATATCACGTTAATCGTGTGTTATAGTTAGTGGTCGGTTTTCCTGGTATCTATAGCAAAAGTAATTATAAAATATACAATTTTAATATTAATGTAAATTATTAATTAGCTTTATTTTAAGAAATAAGAAAAGTAATTTTTATGTTATATTAATAGRTTATTTTATAGAAAACATCAATCAAATTATTTTCTTCTACGATTACCAAAGTTTAAACAGTTAGAGAAAATGAATCACTAATACGTCTACTTTTTTGTTTGAATTTATACTAAAAATTGCTTGTACTTGGCGACWTGTCATTCGGGWAAAAACTGAAATAGTATCCACTGTATACTGAACACTAGGTACAAACATTATTTAATGTAAAATGTAGAATTATGATATTTCATTGGTTAACGATACAAAAAAAAAAAATCAAATTTTGATATTGCAAACTCAAGTTATTAGTTAATAGTGATTTAGTATTTCAATGATTTTAGCATACTTGAATCAAGACCAATAAATTATAAATTTTTTTGTTTCAACATATGTTTGTTTTTACAATGCTTTTATTAATTTTRAACTCACCACTAACATATTATAATAAAAATAAATACATGGGTGTATATGTTATATCATTTATAATTAAAATACCTTACTAAAAATTATAAACATTATTTATTGTGTTTTATCAGTGTGTAATTATAAGATAAGTGTTTTTGTGCAAACATTTTTTTTAAAACTCAACCCATTAAATAATAATTGTTTAGTATGTCTTGGCCATTTAAAAAAATAATTTACATGGTATGATATAAATGTGACGACATTTGAAATTCAACTATCAATGTTTAGATGATGCACAAATAACAATATGAATGTTGGCTGTAAGGAAAGCGCAAACTGCATAAAAAACAACAATTTATAAAAATATCTTAATTTAATGGAAAATCCTTAAGACTATAGTGTTTTTATTTAATTTTAAATATATAGTTCACAATTTTGCTATCAGTTTTACACAATAAATTTAAATAAAAATGTTAAGGTACAAAAAAAATGTTGTATTTACATTTTAAAGGCATATTAATATCAACAACAAAATATGATTTAAATTGAAAGTATGTGTATACTTTATATACAATGGGTTTGACAAATAGAGAAAAATGCAAAATCTTCTACTGACTTTTTTTAATACCCTGTGTGTGAATTTGTGAAACCAACTACAATCATGAAATTATTTTGTCATTGAAGTTCCGCAAAAAAAAAAATAATTGAACAGTAAGGTAAAAACAATTTAAAACAAATACACACACATTTTTCCAGTCTTTACAACACACTTGCATGATGTATGTCAAAAAGTCATCAATGTTAAGACTAAAAACATTAACACTGTTTGATAC